CACAACCATCTGTAATGAGATCTGGCACCCTCTTCTGTATACATAATAAATAAATAAATCTTAAAAAAATAAAAAATAAAATAAAAAATAATAAATTTCAGCCGGGTATGGCAGCACATGCCTTTAATCCCAACAATCTAGAGGCAGAGGCAGGCAGATCTCTGAGTTGAAAACCAGACTGACCCACATAGGTATCAGGATCAAAACTCCCGCCAGGCGGTGGCAGTGCACGCCTTTAATCCCAGCACTGGGGAGACAGAGCCAGGCAGATCTCTGTGAGTTCGAGGCCAGCCTGGTCTACAGAGTGAGTTCCAGGAAAGGCGCAAAGCTACAAAGAGAAACCCTGTCTTGAAAAAAAAAAAAAAAAAAAAAAAAAAAAAAAAAAAAAACTTCTACTCAGGAGGCCAAACCAGGAAGATCACAAATTCAAGGAAATGTGGCCAACTTAACAAGACCCCATCTGAAACTAAAAACAAAAATGACTGGGAATGGAGCTTAGTGATAGGGCACTTGTACAAAGCCCTGGGTTCTGTCCTTTGCATTGCAAAAACTGAAAGGGAGGGAGGAAGGGAGGGAGGGAGGGAGGGAGGGAGGGAGGGAGGGAGAAAGGAAGCCAGGTGGGGCGGGAGAGATGGCCAGCAGTTGAGAGCACCTACTGCTCCTGCACGGGGTGTGGTCCAATTCCTACCAATCATGGTGGCTTACAACTCTAGCTCCAGGAGCATCTGAAATCTCTAGCCTCCTAGGGCACCTAAACCCAAACATAGACAGACATACACAAACACACGCATGCACTAAACACACACACATACAGACATACAAGATATTTATAAAATAATAAATCTTTTTTTTTTTTGTTTGTTTGTTTGTTTGGCTGGCTTTTCAAGACCAGTTTTTCAAGCTGGTTTCTCTGTGTAGCTCTGGCTGCTCTGGAACTGGTTCTATAGACCAGCTGTCCTAGAACTCATAGATCTGCCTATCTCTGCCTCCCAAGTGCTGGGATTAAAGATGTGTGCCACCACTGCCCAGGCAACAAAAACAAATCTTTTTAAAAAATGAGGAAAAGTTGAATAGAAAGACCAACTGAAAAAACAACCAATATAAACGAAGAGCATTTATTGCCAGGCATGGGGGTGTATGCCTTTAATCCCAGCACTTGGAAGGCAGAGACAGGTGGATTTCTGTGAGTTCAAGGCCAGTGTGGTCTACAAAGGAAGTTGCAGGACATCCAGGGTGGTTACACAGAGAAACCCTGTCTCGAAGAACAAACAAAAAGCCCCAGCATTTACCACGACTAAAAACCTAACAAACTGTTCAATATCACTCACAGCAAGAGTAAACCAAAGATTGCTTTTTCTGTGTTTTTTAATTGTTGTTTTGTGTTGATAATGTTTTGAGACAGGGTTTCTTGTAGCCTAGGCTGGACTGGAACATCCTTTGCCCAGAGGATGAACTTGAACTCCTGATCTCCTGGGTTACAGGCTCAGCTGCCTTTCAGTTTTAACCCACCTCGCCTCACTTGCAAGAATGAAAACGAAACAAACAAACAAAAAAACTGGACAAGGCTGGCGTTGAAGCACAGAGATAAAAAGCTAACTGGATGTGTGAGCTCTCGGGTTCCCCGCAACACGGAGAGTACCTGTGTGCACACCACAGCACACTGCGGTCTTACCATGCGAAGGACTGGGCACTTCGCAATCTGCTAATGGGAAGCTAAGCCAGCACCGGTGCTGTATGCAGCACTTGGCCAATGTTCATTAAGGCCGAAACAGATTAATCTGCTCATACCCTGATAATTCCACTTCTAGGAATTTTTATATTACAAATGCCAACATATGCAGAACACAGATTAGACAAATTACAGCATTATCTGTAATGGGAAAAGATTGGAAACTACCTAAATGTTCTCAAAGGCGGGAAATGGGTGATTAAATGATAGCATATCCTTATAATGTTTTTATGTTTGTGGTTTATTTATTTATTTATCTATCTATTTATTTATTTATTTATTTATTTATTTATTTATTTATTTATTTTCAGAGCTGAGGACCAAACCTAGGGCCTTGCGCTTGCCAGGCAAGCACTCTACCACTGAGCTAAATCCCCAACCCTACTTGTATATTTTTTAAGACAGGGTCTCACTATGTAAACCAGGCTGGCCTCAAGTACACAGAGATCTATGGTGGTATTTTATTTGTACTGAAATGTGATTTTAATTGTATGTTAATAAATAAAGTTGCCCGGGGGTCAGAGCTAATAGCAAGCCATAGCAGAGCTGGGCGTTTGTGGCGCATGCCTTTAATGCCAGCACTTGGTAGAAGAGCTAGGTAGGTCTCTGTGTGGTCAAGGATACAGCCAGCATTGGAGACACACGCCTTTAATCTCAATACCACAGAAGACCTGGAAGTCTCTACAGACAGGCAGTGACGAGGCAGTCATGTGTTTGGGTTTACAACCAATGAGAAGGCAGAACAGAAAGACTATATAAAGACAAACACACAGGAAGTAGGTCTCTTTTTCGGAGAGGTCTCTTGGCTAGCTGCAGCAGGTGGGTAAGGCTCTTAGCTCTGATCTCTTGGCTTTCGTCTTTGCATTGGTTCTGTGTTTCTTATTTAATAAGACGCTTGGTTACATCTACAGAGATCCACCACTGTCTTCCTCCCAAGTGCTGGGACCAACGGTGTACACCAACACACCCTACCATACATTTGTTTCTTTTTAATTTAGAAAATCAGGCCAGTGAGACGGTTCATCATGTAAAAGCACTTGCCACTCAACCCTGACATCCTAACTTTGCTTCCCAGAATGCACAGAAAAGCCAGGGGTGGCAGTTTACATGTGTACTCCAGGCCAGAGCACTCCCACAGCAGAGTGGGAAGCAGAGGCAGGGTGATCAGAACAGCCACAGAACAAGAGAGACCTTGCCTCAAAAACAAAGAAAAGAAAGAAAGAAACAAGGTGAGAGGAAGGAACCTACTGTTCCTGTGGTGTACCACATGCATGCCTGTGCAGAAGTGGGAAGAGGACATCAGCTCCCCTGGGACTGGAGTTACAGGTGGTTGTAAGCCACCAAGTGAATGCTGGAAACTGAACCTCGGTTCTCTGAAAAGTGCAAATTAAGTGCGCTAAACCAGCCCCATATGATACCCAACGATCAAAGAAAATTGGTAAATGGAGAGTCACTGGTTATAATGTGCTAAACATTTGTATAAATTCCTTTTTAAAAAAATTCACTTACTGGCCAGGGAGGTGGTGGCGCACACCTCTAATCCCAGCACTCTGGAGGCAGAGGCAAGTGATTCTCTGAGTTCAAACCAGCATGGTCTACAGAGTGAGTTCCAGGACAGCTAGGCCAACACAGAAAAGCCCTGTGTGTGGTGGTATTGTGTTCCCCAAAATATTGTGCACCCTAATAAACTTATCTGGGGTCAGAGAACAGAACAGCCATAATATAAACATAGAGGTTAAGCGGTGGTAGCACACGCCTTTAATTCTAGCATTCCAGAGGCAGAGATCTATCTGGATCTCTGTGAGTTCAAGGCCACACTAGAAACGGCCAAGCATGGTGACTCATGCCTTTAATCCCAGGAAGTGATGGCAGAAAGCAGAAAGGTTTTTAAGGCGTGAGGACCAGGAACTAAAGCTGGTTTAGGCTTTTGAGCAGCAGTTAAGCTGAGATCCATTTGGATGAGGACTCAGAGGCTTCCAGTCTGAGGAAAAAGGATCAGCTGAGGAATTGGCGAGGTGATGCTGTGGCTTGTTCTGCTTCTCTGATCTTCCAGCATTCACCCCAATACCTGGCTGCAGGTTTGTTTTTGTTAATAAGACTCTTTAAGATTCATGCTACAACTTCTAAAGCAAGTTCCAGGAAAGGCACAAAGCTACACAGAGAAACCCTGTCTCAAAAAACCAAAAAAAAAAAAAAAAAAGATTCCTGCTACAACCCTGTCTCATAAAAACAAACAAAAAAAATTTTTTTTAAATACACTTATTTGTTAAGAAGTCAAGATTATTAGTGGTTTGGTCTGGGAAAGGAGCTGACACAAAATTTCCCTTCAGACAATGAGCATTATGCAGGGTGAGCACACAACTGTCGGGCCATGGTCAGGCCTTGCGTGGGAAGGGACTGAGAACAGCACATCACATCCGGGGTAGCATGACAGGGCTGTGAACTGAGTGACCATGATAGAAATATTGAGAAAGTCAGCTTAAGGAGAATGGGTAAGGAGCTGCTGTGGGGGAGGGAGGGAGAGAGGGAAAGAGAATGAGAACCATCGAGAACAAGCCAGCCAGGGCAGCAGAGAGAAAGCAGGAGCCGGACATCTCTTACTTTTAAAAGGCTTCTCTAGGAGCTAAGGCTGAAAGCAGGAATGAGGTAGCACGTTTATTTATAAATTCCTGTTGCAGCCTTCAGAGAGAGCATCAGGCGGGAAAGGGACGGCAGGTCCGGTCCCATGATCTAACATTATGTGTGTGCACTACCAGGAGTTAGCGGGTGGGGGGACAATTCTGAGTTAGTGCTCTCCTTCCCGCTCTACCAGGAGTTAGAGGGGGGGGGGGGAACAATTCCGAGTTAGTGCTCTCCTTCCCGATATATCGGCTCCAAGATGGAAGTCAGGCAGTCCGGCTTGGCGGCAAGCACCTTTCCAGGCCGAGCCACCTCACCAGGCCTCTCCTCTCTGCAAGTTCCTCATTTAACCTTCTGGCCACTGCAGGGGAGCTGTGAGAGCCGCTGTCTCTGCTGCCTGGGGACCGTGAGGCCGACACAGGTGAAAACGGCGAAGGACACACATGCCATTTTGATCCAGCGATGGATGGTTCATCGCGCTGGCCAAGCCATGACTTGGGTTTCAGACCAGCCTGGGTCCATTCTGCTCCAGCACCCATCCTTTCTGTTCAGATTCTCTCTGCTCGCCCTCACCCCGCTATTTTTCTTACTCTGGGTAATTTATTCATTTCTTTTCGTCCCAGCTTCCTTTGGCTAGTTTAATTACACCCACCTGAGAGATGTACGAGGCTCAGTGAAGATAATGAGTTTGAAACAAGTCTGGTGTGTCCGTCCCCACGTAGGCTCAGCTCTCCGGCACCCGACAGGCATTCAGTCAAGGGGCTTCCCAAAGGGGTAGAATGAACTCTGTTGCCAACAGTGGATTCTGCTCTGTCTTTGGCGGAAGACGGTGAGCCGAAGTCTCCAGACTGTCAGGTGATTTGAGAGTGGTTCTCCTCTTCCTGATGCCATGTCAACAGCCCAGGAATCAGGGGAGAAAGAAAACTCTTGTATTATGTTAGTTAGGGACCGGGTAGTCCATCCTGGCCATCTGCAAACCAGGAGGCCGACATCCCAGCAGCTCTCAGTCCACAAAAGTTCAAAGACTGATACGAATTCAAGGCCAACCTAGACTGTAGTAAGTTCAAGGTCAAGGGCAGCCTGAGTCACATAGCTACACAACTAGATCCTATATAAAAAGAAAGAACTAACCTGCCCAAGGATCTGAGTTCCACTCTTGGACAGAATCAACTCCCAAAAGTTGTCCTCCGACCTCCACATATACACCTACACTCACATGCTCACGCCCCAAATAAAATAATACATTTTTGAAAAAGCGGGGCTGGGGCTATAGACCATTTGGTAGAACGCCTGCCTGCTATACGCAAAGCTCTGGGTTCGATCCCCAGAAACACATAAACTGGGTATAATAGTGAGTCACGAGGCCCAGAAGTTAGGGTCATCCTGGACTCCGTAGCTAGAGGCCATCTTAGGCTGAAAAACTGTTTCTCCTGCACTAGGCGGCCAGAGCCGAGCTTTGCAGTTTTGGTCACTCACTCTAAAGCAATTCCCCCTTCACTATCATTACCATAATGCCAAGATTGGTTTGTTCGTTTTCCAGGCATTAGAGATTACCTTGTTTGTGTATTTTCCTCCTTGGACACTGTCTCCACCCCTGAGGTATAAGTCTTCATGAAAACAGAGACCCTGTCTTGCCCTGTTCAAAACCATCTTCAACACTCCAGACAAACTAAGGGGGGCAGGAAAACGTGTTTTTTCGGGGGGTGGAAGTACAGACGACATCAACGTGAACAGGGAATTCTGAGTTTCTGCGGCTCCTCCAATCCGCCGCCAGGGGGCAGCCTTGCCCACGTTTCGACGCGAGTCCTCCCGGCGCGCACTCCGCCTGCGTCTCGGGCTCGCGCGCGCTGCCGCGGCACCGGAAGTGACTGCGCTTGCAAGTTCCCCCGGTCTCTTCAGGGGAAACTGAGGCCGGCTTCTCCGGGAGACACGGCACGAGCAGCCAACCAGGTAGGCCGGCCCAAGTCCGCGGCGTACAACTCGGCCGCGGAGCGCCCTGGTGCCTGGAAACCACCAGGCCGGTGAAGGGGGGATGTGGCCCCCCACGGCTCTTTGGGCTCGCAGGTGAGAGCCCCGCCCCCGGTGCTTGACAGGCGCGGCGCCCAATGGAAGCCTTTGCCGTCCCGCTTCCGTGCCGATCCGGCCCGCGGATTGGCTGCGCTGGGGCGGGCCGCGGGGGCGAGACCCCTCCTTCCAGAGAGGTCTAGGGGGCGCCCCTGAGGGAGGGCAGTTGCCTAGCAACGGGGCGGTGGCTCGGCGTGCACCCGGCCGAGGGGAGCGCGAGCTGTAAGCGAGGCCCCAGCCCACCCACCCGGGGCTCCCGCGCGGAGCAGCCTCCTGCCCTCGAGCCCTGCAGGGGGCTCCAGGAGGCCGCTTTGGGCCGGGCCCCAGGAAAACGAGGTCTCCGCGGTGGGAGCCTCGACTCTTCTTCCTGGCCGGTGGCGGGGCGCAGCGCCCTCCCTTTCACCCCGTCTTTGTGCGGGGTGCCGGCGGCCATTGTGTCCGGGCGCGGAATGGAGGACCTGGCAGTCCCCCAATGCCATGTCCAGGGCCTTTGGGGAATTCAGAGACAGCCGGCGGTGTTTGTCGGGGGTCTCCAGCACACAGCCTCTCTCGGAAAGGCCCGCGGCTGTGCTTTCCGAAATCAGATCGCAGATCCGAGGCGGTTTCCCCCTCCCGGCGTCCCTGCGCGAAACCTTGAGATTCACTGAGAAGTCCCTTCAGGGGACTCATCCAGGGCTGGTACTTAAATAGAAAGAAAGAAAGGAGCGGGTGCGGGGTGGGGTGGGGGGGGAGGATTACACTTAAGTCCATTCCTCCGGGAGCTTCTCCTGGCTCCCAGTAGGAGGCGGAGAGCCAAGGGGCGTGCTAGAGCGAGGGGGGTTGGGCTCTCGGGTGGCTGGTGGCTGCGGACGCCCTCGATCGGGGCGATGGAGGAAGCAGGCAAGAGGGCAGGTTCCTAAGCTTCACAATTCCTGTGTCGCCTTCTGGGCTGCCTACCAGGTCGCATGATCCCTCCGGCCGCGGCTGGTTTGGGGTTTGTTGTTTTTTTTTTTTTTTTTTTTCCTCTTGCCAGCCGCCGCGAGGCAGGCAGAGTTACCGGCAACCCAGCCGCCACCTCCTCCCGACCTATGATACAAAAGATCTTCCGGGGGCTGCACCTGCTTGCTGTCGCCGGAGATAGATTTGAATGTAGGTGGGGGGGAGGCTGCCAATGGGGGTGACTTTTTGAGGAAGGCATTTCGGAGAAAAAGGGGTGGGTGGTAGTAGTGAAAAGAGGCTGATGAGACAATTCAAAGCTTGCTGGGCTTTCCATTGGACTTCATTGAAGTCCCTTAGAACCTGGACTCAGACCTTTATAAGAGCCACAAAGAAACCCGATTCTGGTACCTGGAGGAGGAATGGGATATTGTAAGGTAAATGACATGCATATTAAATTTTTCTCCTGAAGCTCTTTCTCTCCCTTCAGAACCTTTATTCTGGCTTTGGATCCTGGAAGAGAGTCGCTAAACCCAGGGCAGACCCAGTGAGCGAGCAGGTGTTTTGGACAATGGACTGGTTGAGCCCATCTCTACTATAAAAATGTCTCAGAGCAACCGGGAGCTGGTGGTTGACTTTCTCTCCTACAAGCTGTCCCAGAAAGGGTACAGCTGGAGTCAGTTTAGTGATGTCGAAGAGGACAGGACTGAGGCTCCAGAAGGAACTGATTCCGAGAGGGAGACCCCCAGTGCCGTCAATGGCAACCCATCCTGGCGCCTGGCCGACAGCCCCGCGGTGAACGGAGCCACTGGCCACAGCAGCAGTTTGGATGCGCGGGAGGTGATCCCCATGGCGGCGGTGAAGCAGGCGCTGAGAGAGGCCGGCGATGAGTTTGAACTGCGGTATCGGCGGGCCTTCAGTGATCTAACATCCCAGCTTCATATAACCCCAGGGACAGCCTATCAAAGCTTTGAACAGGTAGTGAATGAACTCTTCCGGGATGGGGTAAACTGGGGTCGCATCGTGGCCTTTTTCTCCTTCGGTGGAGCCCTGTGTGTGGAAAGCGTAGACAAGGAGATGCAGGTATTGGTGAGTCGGATCGCAAGTTGGATGGCCACCTACCTGAATGACCACCTAGAGCCTTGGATCCAGGACAACGGAGGCTGGGTAAGAACCACGCCCCTTGTCTGTCTCTTCTTTGGAGATCCCCAACTGCCCCTGTCGGTCTCTTTTCTGTTGCATGGCATGGTTGTTGAGGATGTTGATTGTTCAGGAAACCTGCCTGGCTTCATTTCCACACAAAAGGTTAACTTGGGAAATCTAGATGAGACCCAGTTCTTGAGAGACCTGCGTCTTTCATTCTGGCAACCCTCGTGGCCCCACCGTTTCTTAGTTTTGTTCCAATTTCTCAGCAAAGAAAAGCACAGCCTGTGTGTTTCCTTGGCTGGGGACCCGTGAGAGTGGCAAGTTCTCCCTGCTTCCTGCTCACTGTCACGTAGTGGGTCACCTTGGCTGGGAGTGATGCACATAATGCCCGGGGAAACTGAAGAGCCGCGAACCTCGGGCCCTTGTGCACTTGGGGGCACGGTACTCAGACCGTCTGGCCAGGCAGGGCCCCGCGGCCTTGGGTGGCAGAGTACCGTCTGATTTTCGAGGAGGGTGGCTGGGCCAGTGGTGGCGGTGCTGCGCCCCTAAGTCCATTTTCGCAGCTGCACGGTTGGCCTGTTGGGGACCTCTTGCTGTGTCATACAGTGAGCCCAGGACTTTGCACCTCGCTGCCCAGGGTCGGTTGGGGATCTCCAGCCGCTCTGCCTATTGCTTTTCTGGTGGGGCCCTGGGGCCTTTGTACGGGAACGCTGTTTGCTGGCCGAGCAGGAACCGGGTCCGAGAGGCTCCATAGGAAATTAAGATTCGGTGACAGACAGGATGTGGGTGTGAGTCCTGGCCCCGTCACTCAACTCCCATGTGACCTTGGACAGGCTGGTTTACCTTCTGGAGCCTTAGTTTCTAACACAGAAAAATGTGGCAAGCTCTCTTGCTTAACCGAGTATTGTGACTCTTAGAGATAATGGGAACAGAGGCTGGCGCCAGTGAGCGCCTTCTCTTCAGAGAATCCTTCTGCTAGTCAGGGTGATAGAGAGGTGAGAGGCTTCCTTTCCAGTTTTCACCTTTCGTAATGAACTCCATTCCCAAATAGGGGCGCTCGGGGCTTATGAGAAGTATTCTGTCCCCTCAGAATATGTAGAAAATGGACAAGCTGTGGAAAATAAGTCATCCATTGAAGGAAGTGAGGTGGAAGGGGCCATGCACCATGGACTCGGGAATGTCAAGAATTCGGTTGTCCATAGGCTGGGCCTAGGGCGGGGCAAGCGCTTCGCTTTTGCCACTGAGCAAGAAACCTGCTGGCTTTGCCCTGAAACCCCATCCTGTCTCTAGTTTCCCATTGCTTTGAAACTTCACCCTCTCCTCCCCACCAGTAGCTCTTGTAAAGGCAAAGAGGTCACTTGTCAGTGGAGGTCAGATGACCAGGGTAGAGGTGGCTGAGGTAAAGGTGGGCTTCCTTGAGCTAAGGATTGCCAGACTTGAAAGTCAGTCTGTAAATGAACTCCCTGGGGAGATAAATGATTAAATAGTTCCTGTTGGTTTGTGCTGTGACCTCTTCTATTCATTCTCTCTTGCTTTGATTCTCTTTTGGGGCAAATATTTGCTCAGCTAATTACAGGAGGGCCAAGATTCCAGCCCTTCAGACACACCCTCTGAAGCATCCCCAAGTAAGCCTGGGCCCTTTGACTCTGTCACTTGCTGACTGTCTTTAGCTACTGGTCCTAATGCCAGGTAGGCACTTGCCAGCTATAAACGGTAGGCAGGTGAAGAGGTACCTGCTGGGGCAGCCGGCCTCTGCACAGGCTACTGGGACCTGAGACTTGCCAGCTGCCTCATATTGCATGTCATGTTCCAGTCACCTGGAAAAAAGCTAAGCCCATCTAAGGCAGCAGCTTGGGGCAAGGTCATTAGCTCTCAGTGACTAAAATTCCACCTACCACCGTCTCTTCACTCAAGAGTCTCCAGAGCCTGTTGGGCTGCATACCTGGGAACTCGCCACTTGTGCTTGGTGAGCAGAGAGGGAATGTGTGTAGAAGAGCCGGTTATGGTGGAACCATTCCTGGGCAGGCATTCTTCCCCGACACCAGGGGTAAAGAACATTCCACTCAGTGACATTTGAGCCCATTTCCTCTTAGGCCCGCCCTCTGAGCTGCACAGATGCTGCTGCACTGGCACCCCAGATTTTCCTGGGGGCTGCAGCTTGGAGTCTTAGAATTCAGGTGATTCACCCAGGGTGTGCTCTGAATTTAGCATCCCTTTAAGGAAAGGGAAAAGACTTTCTTGAGTATCTTGAGTACCTCTCATGTGTTCAGCATTGTGTTTTATCCTTGACTTAATGTAGGCGATTCACTGAGCAGCCACCATAGGTCAGGCAGTGTGCTAGGTGTTAACTTAAGCTATCTCTCCATCTTGGAAACACATGGTCATTCATATATTCCACACAGTAACTTTCCAGGGTAGGTGAATTTTTTCCCAGGTGGTACACAAAGCTCCAGTGACGAAATGACTGAGCTTAAATGTTTCTCAGCCAACTAAGTGTCTGGATGAGAAATTTAAATTGAAGTTGGCCTAATTTCAGAGTCTAAACCCTTTCCATCCATACCTTGTTCAGGAAGTAATAATCTAGACAGTCGAGCATAGAAAATCAAGGCTGAGAA